TAATTCGCTGAATAACAAAATCGACCTTGCTGAGTATTCCAGCCATTGTCTCAGAATTACCAGGAGACCCCGCCAATTCGTCCGTTTCATCTTCACAGTCCTCATCAGATTGATCTAAAACCGGTACATCAAGGTCCTCATCGCCCGAGAGAAAAGCTGCTCCTTGAGTGTTGTTGTTTTCCGGAATTGTATCAAGGAAGGGGACATGTCCAAGTGTCTTTTTCTTACACTTAGTCAGCCCAGAAGTGTTGGTATCAATCGCTTTGAGACCAGATGCCACAATTAGTGCAATCTTATGACATACACATCGGATGTGGTTGGAGCTGAGGTCTGGGTTGAATCCGGTTTTCTTAGTGATTATGCGGTCCACCTCGGCAGTCATTGTACGGTTGTTTGAACCCGAGTCAGTTGTTTGAGCTAGGATGTAAAAAAAAAAAAAGTAGAAATGTAGGTTAGATATGGATCAATCTGACAACAAAAAAACTGAAAACAAAAACAAAAATAAATACTTATCTTTGTGTGGAGTGAAGACTTTGTAATGACATTTGCAAACGGAACTGCAAGGTATTTACCCTTGTGCGTCCATGAAATGTACTTGAGACCCAGGTGACATATCTCAAATGCCCAATCTTCTGTAATGTACGCAGCCGCAATTCCCAGGAACGCGTGATGATTCCCTTTGGTGGTCCATACATCATGGATCAGAGTGATTTTGGATTTGAGTGACTGTGCAGAAAAAGAATGTGGAATTAAAAAAAATCAAATGGCAAGCAACAGAAGTTCAAAATGGAGAGTATGGAGCAACTGGCTTACCTTAAGGTTTGATATCACCTTCTCCTGCAGGTTGACATACAAACGTTGGGCTTCTTCCGCTGCCCATGTGCGTGAGTAAAGTTTGATTCCCTTTCAAGCATAGTTGAATGAAATCGCCAGCAGAGTATCCTCAATTCTCATCCAAGGGAGAGCCGATCGCATGAGCCACATAACGAGGATTTGATTCAAAGTCCGGTTATCAAAGTTGCTGTCAGCAAGATTTGTCAATACACTAGCATTCTTCTCTTTGATTGTCACCGGTAAGTTTGCTCCGTTTTTGATTGCTTCGTCTCACAATTCACAAGGTTTCCTCGAAACGTCACCATCACGATGCTTGAACAGATTAGAGCGAGTGCGTGTGTATGTCTTATATGGTCAACAATTGCACCATTTGCACTGGTAGTATAACTTGTTGCCGTCGGTCTACAGAGGTGATTTTTGGGAAATCAGTAAGTTTGTTGACATGGAACAATGAACAATGAAATAATAAAATACATACATTGCCCTCCCCGTATTGTGGAGCCTCAAAATAAAGACCAATATCATCATAATCATTCTTATTAGGCCCTCGGGTCTTTTTTGTCTGTTTGGTCAATTTTGAGTTATCTTCATCAGAGTCTTGAGGCAGGTTGAGGAATTGAACGTCCTCATCCGATTCGGAGGTAGTTTCCCTGTTGTTTGTTGATTTTTTAGACTTCTTCTGAGATTTCTTAGGAGCTGCGGACTTGGTGGATGCAGACGAGACCCGCTTGCGGGATTTTGTGATGGAAGTTGGCTGGCTTGAAACACTGGCCTCTCTGGTTGCTGGCTGGACTCGGAGCGATCGACATGTGTCGGTATCCGTTCGAACATAGTTTGGATGTGATCTGAGAGGGGTAGACAGAGGGGTAGATTGTCGTGAGGGGGGTCGAGAGGCTGGAAGAGGAGGTTGCGCCATCAAGGCCAAGAATTGCTTGATGTCAAAGCCAAAGTGGAGTTGCAAGTGAGACTCAAGTGAGGATGATTGTGGGTTGTTCAAGGCAGATGATCCAGGCAACCACAATAGATGAGCCTTTCCAAGTGTGACAACACAGTGCGCAAGGGAACGTTGTAGGTGTAAATTGCAACTAAACAAATAAGTACAACTGTGGGTGGAAATTACAACTAAACAAGGACAATAACAGTGTAAAGTCAGTTTCAGAGCCACTTCCTTGGGTTGATCCATCAAATCAAGAAGAATATGTACAACAGTAACTTCCCTGTTGAATTCAAGTACAATGCACTGGAATTGTAACTTGTATGATTTTTAGATGAGAGAGGAGTGATTGAGTTGGATTTTTGGGTGGATTGGGGGGGGGGGGGGAGGAATGGTGTGCAATCAAGGAGGGAATGGATTTTTTGAGCTTGCATTCCAAGAGAGAGAGCAGTGGTGAAAAGGGTGCAGGGAAAAGCAGAGGGTTAGTAATAGCACCCACATTGGGCCTCTTGGCCTTTTATTTCTTGGTGCAACTCACTTCAGTTGGGCCTCTTGGCCTTTTATTTCTTGGTACAGCTCAATTCAGTTGGCCCTCTTGGCCTTGTCTTTCCTGGTGCAACGAGATCGATAATCAATCCGAAAGACTACTTGTTGAGGTGCGAATGCGAGTGAAAGGTACAATTGCCAGAAACGTGTATGTATCTAAGAATCTAAGAACGAAGACGATTCAAAGTCGTCAGAGATCTGTCTGGGTTAACGATCAAAGATTGTATGTAAAGACTCAGATGGAACGACAAGAACAAGAAGGAAACACATGACCACTCACGGAAGTCGCAATTCTGCAGCCGATCCACTTGAAGATCGATGATTGGCAATTCGGAATTGTTCACCGAACTCAGCTTGATGGCTGTGAAAAAGTCGTGGAGGTCGTTCAAACAACTGTGACAACCGCTACATACGGTACAGATGGTTGGGTTCTTGGACTTGACGCACTCAAATGCCAATGATTGACCCGAATCGATCCACTCAATTATTGATGATTGGCGATTCCGAATTGATTGCGTTCGTTCCACTCCAGCTGACCGACACAATCCGACCCAACTCTAGGATTTTGACAGGATTCCAATCGCCGCGGGCCTCTGGGACTATCCTGTCTTGGTCCTCGAGATGATTGACCCGACTCGATCCACTCAATGATCAATGATTGGCGATTCCGAATCGATTGCGCTCGTTCCACTCCAGCTGACCGACACAATCCGACCCAACTCAAGGATTTTGACAGGATTCCAATCGCCGCGGGCCTCTGGGACTATTCTTTCTTGGTCCTCGAGGGTTGTGGTAGTTCCACTCCAGCCGATGCACTCAACACTTGATGATTAATCCAATGCAACTTCTCTGAATCAGCTAAGTTCAGCTCATAAGGTTCTTTGAAATCTTGAAGCTGTCTGAGGGAGGGATTGGTTGAGATGATTCAGAGGATGACTTACCAACAACGAGAATCTGGATGCAAGCAGAGATGATTTGAGTGACGGGATGATCAGGGATTGATTAACATGAGTTGAGTGAGAGTATGATCAGTTGTGCTTTTGGTTTTTATTTTTTTATTTTTTTGATTATTGGATGGAATCATATGAATACATGAATACAGGGTGTATTGCAGCGGACCCAGCAATACATTTATTCGTATTGTACTCAGAGTGCAATACATAAAAGAAGAATACACCTGTATTGCAGCACAAATACATGTATGGCCTATACATTTTGGTGCAATACACACCCACTAGAAATACGTGTATTGGACTCGTTGCAGCGTTGCCAGCGGCACCGATGGGACCTGACCGGCCCCCCTGGGGGGTAGCTCTGCCCTAGCAAGGCCATGGATTGGAGGGCGGATGGAGTAAACTTTCCATCAGGATTCTGATGGTGTTACCCTCATCACCTGAAAGTGAGTGGAAAAAAAGTTAGCTGATTTGATCGGAGGTAATCCATACATACATGGACCTGTATTCTTCCAAAGCTTCCAATTGTTTTCCATATTATTTTTTTATTTTTTTTATTTTCTATCTTCTGAGCCCGCAAGCTTTCTCGTTATAGCTGTAAGAGTTGCATTGTTGAGCCTTGCTTATCGGGAAGTGAGGGTGTTTCGAACAGAGGGCTGTCAAGTTGATTGGATGAGGGGGGACTTTCGAAAGATGTGGTGTTATCCAAGTCGACCAAGGTTCGATGGAACGAGTTGAGATTATTTCCTATAAAAATCTCGGCCAATCAAGTGTAGCGTCTTTGATGGGGACCAGCTGCACCATGTCAGCTTTTGTTTCTTGGAGCTTTGATTGGCTCAATTAAGCACAAATGCCCAATCTGTAGGGACAAACTCCTGCTTGCAAAGAAATTCAAAGAGAGATGCACATCCATCAATCTTGTAACCCATCCTGCTCAATTGATGATGCCAACCGGTTGCTCATTCCTTTTTCTCCGATAAGCTGATTGCATGAGTATAAGAAATCCAACTTGATTGTATAGCATCTCTGCACCACCCAATAAATCCAGTGTTGACAACAGATAGCACTTCCGACTGCTGCATAGATCCGCCAATCCAGAGGGAAAGATTCTTGAACGAATTATAAGAATACTGTGAACAATGAAATTCAATTTCTGAATAGGGATTCACATTATTTCGAGTTCCTCAAAACATGAGCAATTTCCAATTTGATGCCAGGATGTTGATAAATAATTTTTTGAAAGGCATCAGGCTAGAATTCACAAAAACGGGCATAAGACTAATAAACTGATCAGACTAAAATATTTATCAAGAGCCCAATTCAATTTGTCCCAATTCTTTTAACAGTTGGTTTATGTGATAATATATGGAGTGTTGAGTTAGGCAGCTTGATTATTCCAGCACACCTGAAGATCAAGATATTTATTTTTTGTGAGAATTGCCTCACAACCAAGAATTCTTGGAACTCGGCAGACACAGGGCACAAGGACAATGTAAAACTCTAGGAGGTGCTCCGCTCGATGGGCCCCACCTTGTATCACTGAATCGGGGTTGCTCGGAAAGCCGTGTGAACCTCCAGCAGGCTGGGTTTCGCAGATGTTCGGTGGATGTCACAGGATTGAAGCGCCATCCCTTCGGCCCCTATCTTTCAAGACTTTCCCCACAGCGCACTCACACTGAACACCACTCATCCACATCCTCATCACCAATCAATCGTCTTGTCGTCTCACCAGCATGGGCTTGGCTACGTATACCGCTACTTGGGCAGCTATCGGGTTCGGGATCCGGTGTTATCAGCTGGGCGTCATGCAGAGACCTCTATTCACTAGTTCAGTTGTCACCTTCTTATCGGTATATTATCTTATCTTGGTCTTGCTGATCGAGTCTTTTTTTTCTTTCTGATTTTATGTTCTCACTTCGTTAAACCTCTGTGATCGATCGAATTTCACGTCGTTCCCAACGTACACAATCATAATTCGCTCGATGTTTGCCGGTGTCATTGTTGCAAAACACTCTCAAATAGACCTATGGGCTCATGGAATCTCGACGGGTCTTTTCGGCTCACTCGGCTATTACTTCTATCATCTCAAAATCCGCCAACGTAAGTTCCAGTCTATCATTCATATACTATATTATTTCTACATCATTTCATCACCGATCAAGATCAAGCAAGCGGAATGAAGTTTGCTTTTCTCTCTCATCGATTTTATGCGAAAAACGAAACCGAAAACGTACCTCATCAATACTGACTTTTTCGATTTCTAATGGTCTCATTTTTGCTATGTTTATCTATATGATTGCTCGGGCAGGTGAATTACTGGAAGAAAGAAGGGAGGAAAGCAAAATATTTCAAGAGGCTCAAAAGATTAGAAACGCGCTCAGGAAACAACAACAGGAGCAACTCGACTCAAACATGTCACATTAGAAAACCTCCATTTTTTACTTCTCTTCTGTTTTGTCAAAGCCTACTTCTTCAAGTCTTTTTTCATCAATCAAATCTTACTTGGCTATGCATCAATCAAGTGTCGCATTTGTTCGTTGATGTACACGATTGATTTTCGAGGGAGAGCTTTCAAGACCTGTATCTCCGCCGGGAGTAAAGTCGGAATCCAAGCCAGAGATCAGAGAGCTTTTCATGAACCACACAGTCACGGGTCATTCTGTGTATAACTTATTTCATTAATAATGAACGAATTGATTGATTGAGATGAGCTGAAGTATGATGAACTGATACATTTCAGTCTATTCAGTCAGTCTACTCAATGATAGAGGATATCATTGAGGAAAAATGCACTAAGGAAACTCATGGAGTCCTACAGTTGATTGAGAGATGTCTGTCTTCAATGGGCACCCTCATAGTGGAGGCAGCAAGGCTCTGCTAAGTTTGATAGTGCCAAAAATGAAGCATAGGCCACGTGACCAGTGGAAAGCTGTTTGAAAGTCATACATACATTGAAAATTGGAAATATTTCAGCTTTTGTTGTTTTGCAATCACCAGATCTCATAAAGTGTTTCCCAATCCTCTGATACAGACATAATGCCAGGTTTCTATGGAAATCTCATGTTACTCCGGCACCAATTTAGACACTTCTGATCTCATGATAGTGTTTGCACTTGAAATTGGACAGATTTGGAAAGATAAACACAGACTGATCACTCTTATCCATTGGTTTTTAAATCAAATCAAAACTATTTAAGCAATTTTTGTTATTGATGCAGGGAATTCAAATGCTCTTTGATCAAAATTTCTTGCACTGGAAGTGTGCTTGTACACGGTCTGCACCCGGGTCAGCGGGTTTGCAGCATTCGATCACCGTACGGGTGCCCCGGGGGTTTGGTCAACAGCAGCCAGAGTCTCGGCCACCGAGCTGGAGCCTGGTGGAGTCGTTCAGCTGTGAAGGAAGTCATCGAGGAACTCAGCCATGTCAGAAACATCGAACCAACTCACGCCGATCTCAGCAGGGGAAAATCAAATAGATGGGGAAGCAAAGGACGAGGAGACCTACGGGAACGCGGGGCAAGCCGAGCCATCCAAGCAAGAGTTGAACGACCAGCCACTCGACCTGGAGGAAGACTTGTTCGGAGGCGAGGAGGACGACGAGGGCTCGGCTGGCGAACTCCTCCCCGACGACGATGACCAAGCTGATCTCAAGAGAAGCGCGCTCGAGTACGAGGAGGATGACGATGCTCAGCCCACTGCTTCTCGTAATCTATACATCGCCGAGGCTCCTTTGCCGAACTTACCATTCCCAAAACCTTCGGATGGCAAGGTCGGTGGCAGTACTAATATCATGTGATCCAGTGGAAAGATTACTGATTTTGGATGGCCGGTTCTCATTTTCTGGAATATCAGCATTGGGATATGAGGATTCCCAACTTTCTAAGCTTCAATCCACTACCATTTTCGGATGAAGAGTTCCTCAATGAAAACGAGTCCAGTGAAAAAGAAGGCGGAGAAAGTGAGGCCGCTAAGGTCTTAACAGATCAGAATGTAATCAGATGGCGATGGCAAAAAGATTCGGAAGGGAATCCCGTAAGCCTGACGGATTGAAGGACTTTGACGCAATCTATCAAGTCTAATGTTCCCTCTTGTGACCCTCCCCCTCACAGGTCAAACGGTCAAACGCGCGGGTGATATGCTGGGAGGACGGCTCACAGTCGTTACAGGTCGGCTCAGAGTTATTCGACATGATATCTACCGTAGACGGCCGACAAAACAACAACACAACCACTCAGCAACAACCGGGGGCGACAACGCAAGGTTTGACCTATCTGTTTGCGCAACACTCTGAGCTAAAGCTGTTGGAGGCGCAAGCGTCGATCACCGGTCAAGTCACGCTGAGACCCTACAGCTTGAACTCGATGACCCACCGAAACATCGTCGCCAACCGGTCGCTCCTGAAGGCCAATTCGCAGCGACAGACGAGTTTGAGGGTGATCACCTTGGACCCCGAAAAGGAGAAGATCGACAAAGAGCTGGAGGAGGAGCGGAAGCTGAAGGACTTGAAGAAACAGGATGCCAAGCTCGCCCGACAGAACTCTCGTCAAACCAACCTCTTGGAGGGTGGCTCGAGGGGTGGGGTCCGAAAGCGTAGGTTTAATGCGCCTTTGTTATCCGACGAGGGCGAGTTCGATCAGGTCGATGAAGAGGAGGAGGAGGAGGAGGAGGAGTATGAGGAAGAGATGGAGGAGGACGAGGACGAAAATCTGGATGATTCCGGCCGCAATCATCGTCAGCCGAGCCACCACGAACCACAGCTAACTGAACTCGAACTGGCCGATCAAAAGCTCGAAGAGCAGGAACTCGATCGCAAAAAGAAAAGCTCCGATCGCGATCGTGGTCATGTTCAAAAACCTTCTAAACCTGAGCCAGTCCCTAGGTGAACCTAAGATCACTAAGCGCAAACTTATCATTGCTTCTGATGACGAAGATTGATCATATCCTGTAGACAGTTTAATTCTCTCTCAGCCGATTTGTTCTTCTATTTCTTCGATGGCTTATCAATCAGTCTATATTATATTCTTAAATCGTTAATCACTTTTTTTATATATTTCTGTCTCGCCATTTTTGTTTCTTTTGTCCAGATGCCACACATTCTACATTTTTCACCCTGGATGATATGCTGGTTTTACGTTCCCATAAATTTTGTTTGTATCACAAAATCAATAAATTCACTGAAATGAAGAAAAAAGAAACGGAAATCATCGGACACATGAATCATCAAGGAGGGTCTTTCCGGAGCTCAAATCACACTGCTTCATTCTATGCTCAGCAAGTGATGTTGGTTTCTTTAGGGTTTGCTTCTCCTCAGAAGTAGGCAATGTTTGGGTCACGTGGGTTAAGTGAGAGGTTTCGCACAGAACACCACAACGCGGTAAGCGAGGTAAAAATGACTCCAAGTTTGAAAAGAGCGTATATCTAGAAAACAATAAATTCGCGACACAAGGGTAGATTTAGAAAGGAAAAAAAATAGGCAAACATCCAAGTTTTCAAAACAAATGTTAACCTAGTTAGTTCATCGGACAAAATCAATCTGACCATGAAGTGCAAGCTGTTAAGTTGGAACACAAATGAAAGGACTTCCAGCGCGATTCCTGACTACATAAATCACACTGTTTGCATGTTTAAAATGACATTCAATGCATCCATCCAATTTGATTCCGTTTCGGTCCAGGATCCATGAACTTCTGAATTGCCAGGAAATTCGATTGGTCGACCCATTCGCCATCCTATAAGTTTGGGCCACCCACCAAAAAGTGGACAAAACAAACAAATTCACACTCAAGTCAGTATATCCCCTTTCTTTGCATGGACATTTGAAGATCAGAACGTGTGAATTCGTTGTGAGTCTTGCCTTCTCAACGGTCACTACAAGCGTGTAATCCTTTTTGATTAACAAAAATATACGTTCCGATTATCGTGCGCAAAAAAACAAGTACGCAATAGGATCAATTTCTTATGTATCTTTCTGTGTGCTTCAACTCCAAGAGGAAAAATGCAGCAATAAAGAGAAATTATCTTACCTGATGAAAAGCGCCAGCTCCCCATAGGAAATACCCCAAGATTTGAGGAAAGCTCTTTGTATCATTGAATTTTGATTATATGGAAAAGAAGAACATTTGTTACACGGGAGGATTAGTGTCTTTTCAAGTAGATTTGTTACACCAGAGCAGAAATATCTGTCATAAAATAGTTTAATTGGAAGGCAAATTCTCAAAATTATTGCATTGCTTACTTTATGAGCTTCTTCGACAAAATCTGCTAAGACAGATGGACAATCGGGGTTGTGTCCACCCCCAAATTCCGTAATCATTGCCTGTCTGTCATCTTTGGCGAGCAAGGCAACGACCTCCTGCAACTCTTTTGTGTGAGGAACCGGGCAACCTGCACTAGTTCCAGAGCCGTCGCTATCGAAATACTGCCAAAAAGAAGAAAAAAAAACCAAAGAAAAAGTGGTCAGAGGGGGGCCCAACAGATAATTTTTTGATGCACGGAAGCAAACCTGATGGATTTCGAATATCAGCCCGGTACAACTGCCATCGGGGTTGTGAATCTTTGACATCCCGGCGTTGTATGAGGTAGCAAAGGTCTGTAGATGGGACCAATTGTCGGCCGGTAAGATAATCTTGTTGGTGGCGCCTGCCTTCCTGATGGCTGTGACGACAGCCTGAAGAGTTTCGATCCATATGTCCAGCTTCACGTCATGAGGTTCGTTCATTATCCCGAACCCAACCTCAGGAAATTCGCCAAATTTCTGGGCGATTCGGGTCCAGAAGTCTACCAGCGAACTTGCTGGTAAGTCTTCGGCCTCGCCGATCACTTTACCATCTCGTCTGGCGTACTTTTTGTCCCCCCCCCCGTTGAGTTTGCGATGGAAATAGCGCATAATGGGTTTCGCAGAAGACTCATTAAGCGCTACTTCTTCCATCTCAAATTAAATCAAGAATCAAAGAAGTGCTACAAAACTTACGTTGTGTAAATCTATGATCACACTGGCCTTACAAGCCAATGCTGAATTCACATACTTCGAGAGAAGTTGGAGGGAATCTGGGTCCAGTGGCCCCATTATCTTTGGCTGAAGAGGACGAAAAGATTCGATCACCGCCCCCCCAACGAAAAGGTTTGCGTTTGGTCAGTCTTTCTTTAACTTGACATTATTTTCTTCCTATAAGAAACACGGACTCAAAAAACGACTGACTTGCATTCTTTGCCAAGAGATTGGAATTCTAAAAGCAGTTACATTTTCCGCTCGGAAGTGTTGGATTTGACTGATCGGTGGCGGTTCCATTGGGTCCTGGTTCATGGTCCCAGTATTCTGCATACCAAATTCTAATCCTGCCAGGTTGACCCCAGCCCATCGTTTAACGTCTTGTTGAGATGGACCGCGAAACAAATTGAGAGCTTTGACACCCTGCCCGAAGGCAATTGTCATCGGCAGTAGTGAAAATAATTTGTAGGAACTCAGCAACATCTTCTTTGTCAATTTTAAAGTATTTGCGGCTTCTATTAATTCTGAAGTCCGTTCAAAATATTGAGGCAGCTCAAGCAGTTGGATCGTGCTGACCAAAAGACAGACAGGAAACGAGACGATTGGGATTGGAGACTGGTAGGTGAGCATACGTGTCCACCATTCTTTTAAGGTAAAGCCTATAACCAAAATATCTCTTCTACGGTATACGGGACACATCCTGAGATGTCAAAGCTCATCGTTCAATCGGCCAAAGATGAGATTGATAATTAAATCTGAAAAACCTTCACGCGATAATTGGGCACACCCTGGGAGCAAAATCGTGATAGGATCTTCTTCAGGTGCTTCTTCGATAAACCCCACATTGCCCGAGTGGAGAAGCAAGCCGCGATCCCCTTTTTTATTGTACACGCCCAACGACCAACGTTTCCCTCGAGCGATTTTTCTTGAGAGGATGTTTTTACAAAATCACCTAAATGGGGTCTGAGATAGATATTTAGTGACAGGTATCACCTCTCTGGTGAAGTAGTGTCCTCACAGGTGGCATGTAGCTCACTTCCCCTCGGCATTGATCCAGGGTCTGGCATGGCCCACCATGGAAGCATTCCTTCAGATGTCTCGCAGTTAAATCGGGTAGATTCCGATGCACCAATGCGATCCAATAACCACTGGGTACCATGATGCCATCTGGAATCAAGTGGGGTGGCATCCAATTGACGAAGGATGCTACCGAATCACGCAGCTTGCTCCTGTGCTGATCGTCAGACACTGATGACTTGCTATAATCTGGCTGTCACCAACTTCGCAGGTGTGGGCCCAATGCTCCTTTCCTACCCTTTCTTGGATTGATCATCCGGCTGCTGTTACGTACTTACCAGTCTTATGGATCCGTAATCGTATGGACTCACATAGCGATTCCCTAATGAATTTCCAGCGAAGTCGTTGTATTGTGTGGCACATACTTTGCTCTAGCCTACTGCCTATGTCCGAAACTTGAATGCGCAATCAAAAGTGAAGTCTATCGGATCGATTCGTTTTTTGAAAGGTATCTATTTATACTTATTCCATCTCGTAAAGGCTGTCTCACCAAGAGTTCTCCTTTTTGTTCACAACATACAACCCCTTTCCTTCCCTCATGATTTGACGCGACTCTGGCGGATCAAACCGCGCCCGGCTGACTGCGTTTATTCAGTTCAAATGAAGCTTTCGGTTTCATGGGCTACTAATTTCTTCCATAGGATAAAGAGCAGTCTGACCCTATGTTCACGAGGTTTTGTCCCGAGTTTCTCCTGGGATCGGCGTTGAATTAAGTGAATGAATAGAAACAAAAACCGCTGTCCCTCCCGTCAGCCAGCCTCAGTAGCCCAGTGGTAGAGCGTTTGCCTAGTATGTGCTAGCAAAAGGTCCAGTGTTCGACTCACTGTTGAGGCATTGTCTAATGGTCTGCCCTTCTTGTGGCACTTATCATTTTTAGTCTGAATCCTTCTGTGGTCACTGTGTTTCTTGGGAAGCGACAGGAAGGGGATGTTGCCGATGTCCAAGTGCCTGAATGAAGGCTGGACCAGGAGGCTGTCCTATGACTCTAAGAGGGCTCAGGCCCTAGCCCAGAGAAAAGTAGAGGAACAGCCTCTCTGTCCTCCTCCCTAGACTCCTCACCACTCAGCCTTGCCTCTTGCCATACCTGCTAGCCACACTATTGGCTGCTGAAAGTTTTTTCAGTCCGACTGCCCACTCTAGACAAGGAGATGGTGGTGTAGCGTGATCCAGCTGCGATCCACCCCCCCCCCCCTCACACAGCTTTGAAACAGCAAGGCATTTTTCTCTCTGCTTCAGGAGCTAAGTCAACGGTGGGCCAGCTATGCTAACCGTAGCGTAGTGTAGCAATTTTTGCTACAATTTAGCGTAGGGTTAGCGCTTTTTTCATTTTTTGCGCTAACGCTACGCGCATGGGGAGAAAACTTGCGCTAACTTTTAGCGTAGCGTTAGCGTGATTCCCCCCATCTGTGCTAACACTACATGCACAGGCCGCCAAAAACTGCCCGCTACGCTGTGTTACAGCAATTTTTAGCGATTTTGAGACGTTTTTTGCCACTAAAAACACTGTAGCGTAGCGGCGCCAGCGGCACGCCAACACTACACCAAAAATTGGCTAGTGTTAGTGCCACTACAAATTAGTGTACAGCGGCCGTAGCGGCGCGCTAAAAAAATTGGCACCGCTACGCTAAGGCTACATGGGCCCATAGCGTAGTGTAGCGTAGCGGCCCACCGCTGGATAAGTCTTGTCCCAGACTCCTGTCAGGATACAGGCTATGAAACACTCTTCCTAAGAGAGGTTTCCACACCAGGTCTTAGAGCATCTCTAACGGTCCGGGGCAGTTGACTTGTGTTCCCCGGGCAGCGACCACATTTCAAAAGAGTTGCAGGCCAGCTCCAATTATGGACTGGCACTTAATTGAGCAGCAATCCAAGTGAATTCTCTAGACTCACCGACCATCCTTGTTTTGCATCACCAATACCATGGACAACCTCCTCCAATGGCTGGACAACAATGATGATGTTCTTGCCTCCCTTCAAACAACAATGGCCTTAATTCTCAAGACAAACCAAAAAAGGAACGTGGTGGTTCAACACCTGGAAGAAGGGAAATTTACCGGAATCACCTTCAAGGACACCAGCAACTTTACAACAATTACTTTGCCAAGGACTGTGTTTATCCCAATTACCTCTTCCATCGCCAATTCAGGATGCGCAGGAGTCTTTTCCTCAAAATTGTTGAAGATATTGAAACAGCCGATTGATACTTCCAACAAAAGCAAGACGCAGCTGGAAGGCTTAGGTTTTTGGCTCTTCAAAAAAGCACTGCAGCCATGCGGATGTGGTGGGGACTCTATTGATGAGTAAGTTAAATTTCCTTAGACCATCTCCACCGTTGGGGACTAACCAAGTGCCCAAATTCCCAACTCGCGCCAACACCGCAACAGCTACGCTCGCAGAAGCAGACAGCATAGCGATATTGGACCCACTTTGCCACGCTAACAGCAGTGGGTCGCGCACTTTGCTTTTTGCTTTTGGATTGGGGAGGAAAAAGTTGCAAGTTTCAGCGCACTATTTTCAGCGACCATTAGCGGTAATTTGCTACGCTTGCCGCTGAAGTAGCAACAGTTACACTATTGTAGCAGCTATGTTTGCGCTGAAAAGCGCCAATGTTGAGTGTTATTTATTTTTTGTGTACAGTATTGTTTACCGAGAGGGAAAACACCAGCAAAACAAACATTTGTAGGATAGAGAGGTGAAATTGAATTTGCAAAGAGAAGCGAGGGAGACAAACAAGTACTAGAGAGCAGAAAAAGGAAGGGGTGAAAAAGCAAACAAGCGAGTATTTGTGGTTTATTTCTCACTGAACTTGGGATTTTTTTGGTGGCATCAAAAACAGCTTGACAGTTGTCAAAGTGAGTTTGAGTTTTAACACCTTTACGGATCCAGAGATGACTACTAATACCGCGTTCAATCGTTTGTGGTGCTAGAGCACCCCTGCTTGTGGTACATATATCTGCAGTGGCTGAGAATTTTCGCTCAACAGATGCGGAGCTGGCTGCACAAGCTAAGTAGTCCCTTGCAAGGGAGGCTAAGAATGGGAACAATGGAGCTTGCGACTGGTTTGGCATAGGTTAAGCAGGAAAAATGACCAGTCGGTCGGTCAGTCTGTCTGGTACAATAGCTACAAACACATGTTACAGAGATTGCAAGCCACTTCCAATTATGGACTGTCAACTAATATGGACCTGCTCAATTGTGGTTCTCTTAATTGTCTCTTTTCTCTTGCTTGTAAGTTGTATGTCTCCTCTTGCTTGTACATTTTCCCTTGCTTGTACATATTTCTTCTCTTGATTGTATGTTTTCTCTCACTTGTATCTCTTCTCTTGCTTTAACTTCTCTCCATCAGTTTTTGGACTGTCAAAAAATTGCAATTGGTTTCCCAGTTCTTAACAAACAGAAAAAGAAATGAATTGTGGCCTTTCAACAAAAAATGAAGAAAAATGAATATAAACAATTGATCTGAAAGCAGAATTGAGTGATAAGTGAGACAAAAAACAGTTCAGCTCACTTGATTTTGGACCCTGTGTGTAATTTTAAGGTTGTCTTGTCCTCTTTAATGGGCCAGCAACAATACTCCTCACCCTCCTTCAGGGTAAGATTGATTTCAATGTCCAATTTGGAGGTTTTATTGGTGTTGGTCCTAGGGTGTTGTTGTTAAACAATGAGGGTCAAGTGTGGTGGATGGAGTGTGTGACAAATGATGGATTGAAGCTGGGAATTGACTGGCAGACGTCAGCAGCCAATTGCAGGTTTGAGTGCCCCTGGAAGTGTTCCCAGGGTTGTACCACAGGACTGTTGGAGAACAAGATGGACTCCTGGGATGTAAAAATTCACACGTGGAACAATTGCAGCTCTTTTAGAGTTGCTCTAAGTGTGGATCCAGCATATCAACCCATATCAGGTGTCCTATATTCCTCAACTGTGTCACTCAAATTCTTTGGTTCCAAACCAAAGAAAATGGTGCCATTATCTTTGGTTTGGAACCGAAGAGCTGCCAGAGCTGGATGAGCTGCCTGGAGCTGGGTCCCCCAGCTGACTAGATTTCCAAAAACACTGGCAGAGACAAAGTCTCTGTATCTCAGCGGTTTCCACTGGCCCTAACATCTGACCATCCAGCAGGTCGTGGGTTTGATTCCCACTGGTCCCATCCCCTGATGGGGGTTGGGGGGCAGGTTTTTGGGGTTAGGGTTAGGGTTAGGTTTAGAGCATTAGGGGGTTAGGGGGTTAGGGTTAGGGTTAGCCCAGGAGAGGCACAGTGCCTGGACAGGTTCAAGTGTAGTTGTTCATCTGCCTGGGTATTGTGGGGCCATTGGGGACCTGGCGTAGTTGTCAGAAATCCAATGGCCCTGCTTCAATGGGGGGTTAGGTTTAGGGTTAGGTTTGGGTTTAGGTTTAGGTTTAGGGTTTAGGTTTAGGTTTTAGGTTTTAGGGTTAGGGTTTAGGGTTTAGGTTGGTTAGGGCTGTTTTTTTATAAAAAAAATTGGCAAAACCGGTTTTTACCCAGCTTAGAGATGGTCACTTTGCATCTGGATATCCGCGCGGATGCGGATATCCGGTTGCTTTTTCCGGGGAAAGCGGCATCCGCACCTGCATCCGCATCCGCTGGCGGATATCCCCCCGCCTTAGCAGGTATCCGAGCGGATATCCTCAGATACCCGCTGTAGTGTGCCAAATGTGTTTCAAGTACCAAATTGCATAAATTCATGATCCACTCTTGATAATAGGCTAGATTCTTGGTGTTATTATTACTTCAATAGATTCTACAGGTCATTTAACCCATAGTCACTCACTAGAACCACTAGGCTAGCTCCACTCAGTCAAAAGTTATTTGGATAAATCAGTTTTACTACATCATAGTATAGTTATCCTGGGTAGTGCATAGTATAGATTTATATATAAGTGCATAGTTACAAATATTTTTTTGTACAGGCATAGTATGATCACATGCTTGGAGCACACGTATTTTCACGCAACATCACCAGTCACATGCTTTGGATCACACGTATTTTCACAACACACCAGCAAAAATGCCTCAACATAGGAAGAACATTCCGCAATAGGTGTGATTTTCTGTATGGGGCA